ATATAAATAAAATAAATATTTTGGGGGTTGTGGGCTTGTTTTTTTTTCTTTTAATCTATCAACATGAACTTCCCTTTTAATACATCTGTATACATAAGGAGAGGGGGAAGGAACCCCACCGCCCTGCTCCCTTCAGATTTCTCCTACCTTTTGTTCCTTGACTTTTCCATCTGCACATTTATCATTCAGGTAATAAAACCTCAAATTGCAGATGTGACAGTAGCAGGTTTATCATTTTATCATATGAATGGGTCTTTTTTTTTTCTTGAATTCTGCTTTCATATTTCTAGACCTGCTCTTTCCCAACTTTGGTAGTCACTGTTTTCTCACCTGCTTAAGTACCCCTGTCAAGGATGTTCCTGAAAGTTGGTGTAGTATCCTGTCATGCAGAAAATACAGTTAAATTTTATCTTATGTCAGCAAACCAACAGTACCACTCAAATGTGCTGTTTATCAGGCTGTCTACTGGTCACAGTTGAAAACTGTGGTGTTGGGTACATCCCTTGCTGTCGCGAGTATGGAACAGTTTACACAAACAAAAGAGTAAAATGCTCCTCCTGGGCATTCGTTCTGTCTAAAGTGTGTTTGCCAGAGCAGCTTGGCCTTTTCCCCAGATCAATATGATATGATATTCTGCTGCATTCTCACAATACAGCTTCATCAGCTAATCAATTACGAATTGCTGTCCATAGCAGTCTTGCGAAGAAAGCAGCAATACAATAAAACTGTGTAGAACAGTAATCTTCCTTGGCTGCTTTGTTTCAAATACGTGTGTGAGCGGAAGAGGGGAGGAAGATCTCATCAGCTGTAGGCAGTGGCATTTGTAGTGCAGGAAACAATCTCTCACTTCTCTGCCTGTTTTCCCTTTTTTTCAGTTGTATCCTTAACAAAACACCAAATTGCTATTCCATCGTGATGCTGGAGATCAGATACACTGTTTAAAATGGTCATTATCCACGTAAGCTCACAAAATCTCTCCTTCATATTAGCTACTTTACTCCAGCTAGATTACAGAGCTGTTTCACTGTAATTTGATCTTGAAGCCGCAGTGGAATTTCGAGTTGAAAAAAACTAATAATTGCTTTTATTCCTTTAGAAAGTATTTGTACTGACATTTGCAAAGAATGGTTGTTCTTTTGTATACCACAAGTTTCAGTTGGAATTTTGGATAAAAGACCTAAGTGGACAGCCCTGCTGTTGTATGAAGTTCTTAGGAAGGTTCATTTGAGAAAAGAGACATAAAATGATGTTAGAAGGAACAGATGTGAGCCAGATGCCAATGACAAACATGTAAATGCTATTTAAACTTTTGAAACTATTTTACTCTTTCAAACGCTTACACAAACAATAGCAAACATTAAAATTATTTTTTTGTTGCTGTTGGCTTAACCCCAGTAGGGGACAGATGAGAGGAGGAGAGAAGCAGAATGAAGTTTTAGTTTTTGGATCTAACTGCACAATTCTGACCCGAATCTACTGAAAATTCATAGACAATTGTGACTGAAATCTGCCAGGATTTGGGGGGAGGAGAATCTTTCATAACTGTAGTATTAGCATAGTATTTGTGCTATTGAGTGCTAAAGTCCTCAATGATTTTACATAGCCTCAACCAGAAGCTCTAAGAGAAACCTCAGTTACCATACGTCTAGCTGTAAAACAAGAACGGAAACCCATCAGCCTTCTCTCGGACCTGCAGCAAGACTGGGAGTGCAGCAGCACTGCAGTTGGTTTTGCCTTGTTGTCCTTGAGCTTGTACTAAGAATAAATATAAATAGTTTCAGAGAGGAGAGACTTCCACTTGCAATTTCTAATACTAGTACAATTGAGAATAATGGCTATTTATATGAGTAGCTGGAAATGTGTGAAAACTTTTCATAAAATACTGGAAGTGCACGTGAGTATGTGTGAGAGGAGGAAGTGCCATAAATTGAAAATGCAATTTTAAAAGGGAAAGGAAAGGAAAGTAGAGTCATGGGACTATTCTGGAGTTGGTATTTCTTATTTGCTAATTAAGGGTACTTCTTTAATTTTCAGAAATTTTCATGATGACAGACTGTACACTTGTAGTAGACATCTAAGCAACTGTAGGAGAAAATGGTTTTCTTCAGTGAATATATAAAATGGATGTCAATTTGTGTCCCCCATCGCCTCCCAAACAAAACCCCCAAATGGCTTTAGTATGGATAGCAGGTCTCTCCATCCATCCTTTTGCTTTCCGCATCTGACCTTAATGCTGGTTTGGAAATAACACACGTCAGTCCACGAGGGTCGGTGTGGGGGCGAGAGGGCCAGCTCTGAGCTCAGCCTGAAGCCCTGCAGCCGGAAGATGTGGCCCTGGCTTTCTCCGACTCCTCTGGGATCGAGGCAGAGGGCGCGGAGCAGCCCGCAGCCAGCACCAGCTCAGTCACCGAGCCGTCCTGACGCAGCCACGGAGGCTCTGGTGGTGACTTAGCCCAGGAAGCCAGACCGCTGGAGCTTGTTGCCCCCTGCCAGCCTCAAGCTGGCTTTGCTTGTAACGCGCTGTGCTTCGTCCAGCTCATCACGTGTGCAGATACGAGCGCGGGTGCGACATCAGCGACGCGGGGAACTTAGAAGTTAATGAAGCGTTGTGTCTGTGGAGTTCAGATGCCTCTGTCTGCAGTCAGAAGCAGAGTGAGGCTTCTGTGATTGAATTTATTTGTAAATGCACGTATTTCTTACGAAGTCCTGCGTCAAATACCATTGAGCTTTTCCCCCCCCGTTTCTGTCTTGGTTTTTTTTGAACTATGGTTTAACTTTCTAAGAACTCTCTTTTCTGGAGTGGGTTTTGGGCTTTTGGAGGGTGGTTCCAAAAGGACTACTCCTCAGTCTTACGAGAGGAAACCAGCATGGACGGTTTCAATATTCATTATAGCAGAATTTTGTGGGGAAAAAAGTTTAATCTGGCAGATGCTTCTGAATACAGCACTCTTGAGCTGCTTATTTGGTTTGAGGGGCTTCTCTTTATTAAGTGATAAGCATTTGTAAGTTTAGGTTCTATAGGTTTGTCATTCTACAGAAGAGGAACAAAAGGAGGCTCATAAATTTTCCATGCTTAAATGGTCTCAGGTTTACAGAGGAGAAAGCTGGACAGAAACTCAGTGTTGACACTCATTTGTTAATGTTTTTTAGTAGCTAGTTGCACTATACTTTGGTTTTGAATCATTCTATCTAATATCTATAGGGGATGTTAAAAGCTGGCATCATCTTTTGAAGGTTAATGGGGTTACCACAGATGCAGTCATAAAACTAGGGACGTGTCTGTTGTGACAAGCCTTTGGTATTTTGGCCATGACCATTAATTTTACAAAGAAAGGGCTCAGGTAAATTTAAACTAGCATTAAAATGTGGGGGGAGGGGAGTATTTAGGCATTATTAGTGAGTAGATTGAGATTATTTTTAGCATAAAGACAAATTATTAATCATCCTCATAACCGTTTTTTCCTCATGTTGACACATTAATTCTCTAGTTTAATTTTACGTTATCCCATTGATGGTAATCGTACTGCTAATTCACCCTTCTAGACTTTAAACATTAAATTTTGCTGCTTTTTGTTTGCTTTCTTTTCTGTTTTGTTTTATACTAAGCTGTTTGTCATGTTGACTAATGTTGTTCCCTTGTGTTTTCATCTCTTGCGCAGCTATCTGTTCTCTCTTGTCTTGTACTTAGATTATACAGCATAGGGCTGGAATTCATCTTTTTTGTGACGGATTTGTACAGCTCTATATCGGCAAAGTATGAGCTCCTGCATAGAGTTCATGTTGAGTATAAGAGTTCAGATAATGGTTCTATTGTAGTTTGACAGTCCTTTCCCATTAGTATTAGAAATTGAACAGCGCGACCTATAAGACCTAGCAAACTGGTTGTAATACCAGAGTTTCCTCCTTTACATGTAAGTATATTATTTATAGCACAATGAAGTGTGATTATTGTCTAAACACTTTCCTATATTGAATACTAATCTGCAGAGAATGAGTGGCAGCCAGGAAAAGCAATGCTGGTGGGAAAAGGCGCTCTATTCTCCCCTTTTTCCTGCGTCACAGTGTGAAGGTAAGAGGCTATGCCAGTTTGAACTGACTTGCTGTTGCACCCATGTTAGAATGCAATGCTCTTTCTTACGGATTTGAATTGTTGCAGATGAATTGGGACTACCATCTGTATTTTAAGAAAAAAACAAAACAGTAAACTTCCACAATAGATTCTCTTATCAGAACAGGGATGCTTCAGTTACATTTGTAATAGATCTCTAGCATGCTTCTAAATAGTTTTTAAATTAAAGTGCTTTTAAAATAGTCTTCACATTTATGCAAATTTACTTAATTCCAGAGCCTGGAATTAAGTAAATAGAATATTAATCTCTGACTCTGAAAATACTTTATCACATTTTTGAATATGCTTCAACCTGAATAATACTTATTAGGTAGCTAATTTTATAAGAATGTGAAAACGTGATAATTACCTTTTAGGGGTTCGCATAAATAACATGCCAGCTATTCAGTGAACGTGTGGAATTTCTCTCAAGCTGGGAAGGAGAGGGATTTGCCCCTTGGCCACTCCTTTCACAGTGACAATCTGGGAATTTTTCTGTCCCATGCAGAGAGTAAGTCCCGTCTTGGTAGGCAGGCTGCTCGCAAGCGGAAGCAGGTGTGCTTCCAGCACTCTCTGTTGCCTCCCAAGAATTCCCAGCATCTGACAGCTGGCCCAAGCCCAGGTTTTCAGTGGACAGGCAAGACTCCAGACAGCTTTTATTTGCCTGCGTACCAATTTACCTTTTCTGGGGAGGAGCCAGGAGGCTAAATAAGAACACTCTGTGTACTGAATTGACAGGTGGTCTGGTGCTTTCTGTTGGTGGAGGCTCACTGCAAGAAACTTTTGATCAGAGACCTGATTCCTTAATAAGCTGGAAGTAGATTAGCCAGTGATTATTACTGAACTATTTTTGGAATGCACCTTAAAGTGCAACCAACTAAATGGTGTTCTTGGTGCCTAAATGCCCTTACTGTGGTGTTTAGGACAGTTTGGCTTACTTTCAAGAACATCTTAACTGACTTCACTCCCAACTATAGAAATGTGTTTGCACAGTGAAAGAGAACAGATTGATGCCTACAGGACTTTGATTTGCCTCCTGGACTGGTCACAGAACCTCCCATATTAGAAAAAAACTCAGTATTGACGAAGTAGAGATATTTAGTGTCCTTTTGTAAAGGTTTTTTTTCCCCACAGGGATAATTGCAGGGGTATTCTTGGTGTACTAGCAAATGTAGTGACTCACACTCTTGAGTATGTATTTTACACAGAGGAATCCTTGAATTCCTGTGAGTGAATTCTGTCATCTTTTTGCTGACATCTGCTGGTAAACCTGCACAACTGTCTCGGTGTTTCACCGCCCTTACTTCATCAGAGGAAGCCAGAATATACCGTATAAAATACTAAGGAGTCCAGAACCTGCTTGACACAGTGGCAGAATTTCCGTGAAGTAGAATAGTTTCAGGATTTCCTCTTTTAGACTAAGTTTAATAAAACTAGGGCTTTATCCTCAGAGCTAATGCTATTCTTTCACAAATCTTTAGCTGTATCCAGTTTTCTGTATAGGTATTTTTTATATATGGATATCGATGCATGTGATCCATATATCGATACGATCTATGTTGATATTATATGTGGAAGCTTGGTAAGTAGAAACAACAGCCATTCACGTCAACTTTTTTTTTTTTTTTTTTGAGCTTCAGTCAGGATCAGGCTGCTGTTGCAGTATATTTTGTATGGGTATAGAAAGAGGAATGATCTAAAACACTGTGCAGTATCAGAACTGAAAAATGTACTGAACCATTTATAATAAAAAAGTAATTCTTGCTCTTTGTACCTTACTATTTTAGATGTTTTCATTAACTAAGTAGCTTCTTTTTTTTATTACTTGGTTCTCCAGGTAAGATTTGATGAAGCTTCCATGAGGTATTATGCTTATCTGTTTAAGGATGTCAAACTATAAAATCTTCCAGAATCACAGAGTTTACATGGCTTAGAGTGTGAATTTCAAGAATACTTCTCTAGATGGTTTCATTTTGGCTAAATGTAAATAACAGTGTTCCTCAATTCTGTTTTTTCTTCCTTTTTCCTCTGAAACACCCCCCAAACACAATGTAAGAGTGTTATACAAATGCCAAGGGCGAGAATGGTGTAGGAGAATTTGCAGATGTAAAGGAAGTATCCAATGATGATGAACATCTTTTAGATTTTAATATGGTAAGTGTGGTGTTGGTTTGGGGGAGGAGGTTTTTTGTTTCTTTTATAAGGGTGTGCTACCACGTCTTTCCTTTCATCGCAGTTTTCAGTCTGGCCTCAAATGAAATTCCTATGAAAACCTTCAAAAGCTTTTCTTTCCTTCGTGTTTTGATCTCTTCTGTGTCTTGAGCATTCCTCTGAGAACTCCTCAGTGTTGTGCTTTGGGGAGTACAGCCCTTTGTACAGAGTTGTACTTATGGTAGTTAAGCAAACTCAGTTTCCTTTGGGAACACTCGGCTTTTGCTTGTTGTGCGTGTTAAACATGAGTCTTTTTTTCCTCAACTTCTAATTTCAGTAGGCGTAGAGTGGGCTGATGTGCACTATGAAGGCAGAAAGGACCAGTAGCCACAGGCCTAAACATAATGTGTGCTGAATTCTGTCCTGCTTACGAACAAAAACCTGATTTTTTTGCTGTAGGGAGAATCTTCGTGTACATGTGCACTTACTGATATATTTTTAAACTTTATAGTGATGATAGCACTTCAGTTTACACTGTGACACGCTTGCTATAACTTTACTGATTCAGCTGAAAATACTTTGGTTTTGCTTGAAGTTCAGTCAGAACTGTGCTGTGTTTTCTCGGTACTTAATACTTACTATGAAATTTTGGAGATAACTTTTACAGTAATTTTCTAACATGACCTGTGATACTGATGCATTCTAACTGAGTTCACTTTTGAGTCTCTTGCTGTTTTGTGCAAATGCTAAAATGAAGGAATAGGAAAAAATAATAAAGCCCCCACCTTTTTTTCCTGCTGTTCTGCAGTCCTTTGTACATAGTGGACTAAGTCAGGGAAGTGGAGGACTTGCCCTGTAACCATGACATCTCTCTTGAACGACTACAATACTGTGTAACCTCCCAGCTCAGAAAAAAGCAAGCGTGTTTTTTATTGTTCCCCATCAACACTGTCAGTTTAAATCCTTAGGTTTCTTCTGTTTATGAAGCAAGATGTGCAGATGATATAAATGCTGAGGCAAAACCAAATGGCTTCAGGAAGAAGATCTACTCCAGTGATAGCTCCAGCTCTGAAGACACAGCTTCAGAAGGTGGAAGTGAATGGGCTGATCCATGTGAGGAGGAGCTTTTTTCTCGAACTCAACTCTAAAAACTGCAGAGTAGAACAGATGATTTAAAAGTAACATGAGATGGAAAACTATCCTTCTTGAGGGTCTGTAGCTCTAAAACAACAACTTGAGTTTCCTCTTCAGTTAATGGATTCAGATGTGTATTTATCTTTCTCTTCTTGCTTATTTTATAGATGAGGACACAGCTGTCCTGTTGAAGATTTTTTTTTCCCCCCAAAAAAACCTGTTAAATTCTTGGCTATTTGAACTAGACTAGATTGTGTTGTCAAATCAAGAATGGATGTGCATGTGCTTGTCTTAGTAGTACCACTGCTTTTTTGCATCTTAATTGCAGTTATTTTCATTCGTAACTGTAGCCCTACCACTATTACTATCTTCTTAGCATTGCAGTGTCTACAACTACTTCTGCTATTCAGAGACTTCAGCTTTCTGCACATCAGGCTTTGTTCTTTAAGAACTGGGAGATAAATACTTAACACTGTAATCTATCAGTGCCTTTCTGAATGCAGGAGAAAAGCATGAATGACTTGTCCAGTCTTCATCCAGTAAATCTCGTAACTTTGAAGTAGGAACAACAGGGTTGTGCTTTAGAGACTTACAGAAACTGTGTTTTCTATCCTATGATTCCCCCCTCCCGCAAACCAACACTGAGGATACCATGGTTTGTATTTTTGCTAACTGGAGAAGCCAAGGATTTTTTGTAGGTATGGAGGCAATCTGGGGTTTTTTTTTTCCTTTTTTTTCTTTTTTTTTGTCCTTTTTAGCAACTTGCCAATGTGGGGCAGGCGTTTAAAAAGTAACACCAAAAATAATAAACCACTGGGGTGATGTGTGGATTGTTGTGAATTTTGTGACGAGTAATGAGAGTGTTGTCTTGTTGCAGATGATGGCATTCATGTAACCTGCAAAAGCATCCTGTACTGAACTTGAGCCTGAATGACTGAAACTATCTAAAATGCTCAGAGTGTTCAATGTTTTAAATGCAAAGGGTCAGCGCTTCACTTGAAAGAAATCCTGTGGCTGCTGCAGTTAGCTGCTGTTGTGGCTGTACTTTAGTAAATCTCGTAGTTCATTTTGTGTTTCCGAGAGAATGTGTGGGGCAAGTTATGTG